CATAGAGCTGGCAGACTGCAGGCCATGCTGCTAGAATCAAGACTTATTTTTAGGCAATAATTAGCATTTACAAGTTACAAAAATAAAAATATAGATATAGATAGATATCTATATATCTATCTATATCTATTTTTTTTTTTTGTAACTTCATAAATCATGGCTTAAGGTGACCATACACCATATAAATCAGATAGTTCAATCTCCTTTAGATTTACCAAAACTATGTCTTTCCTATCATACAGAAAGTGCAATTATCTTTTAAAATCAGCATGTTATCACAGCCACAACCTATTCTGCATTTTGGAACCCAAACAGTAGAGATATGAAAGAAGTTTGCTTAACCAAATAGCACTTCTAGGAAGTCAGCTTCTTCAATGAGGCCTATTGACTAAGAAAAAGTAAAAGAAAGTGAAGGCAAAAAGCTGAAGTTGGACTTCATGAAGATGGCACTGTGGTTCCTTCTTAAACTAGAGCTCCTTCATAATCTGCATAGCCGCCACCCCCACTAGGGTATCTGACTTTATTTCCTCCCCATTGTTACTACCACACCTGCATAAACCCCACACCCGCCACCCTACCTTCTGCAAGCTACACCATGCCTGCACCCTCTCCCCACCTTGACCATTGAGCACTACGCCATGCCTGCATCCCCACCATCACTCTCAACACCGTGCCTGTACATACGCCCATGCCAACCCCACTTCCCCCCTTTGCGCTCACTCCTGCACCAAGGCGTCTGACCCTTATTCTCCCCTTTGGACTTACAACAGCACCTGTGCACACCACCCCCTTGCTCTCACCATTGCACCTGAGCTCTCCCCGTGCTCTCACCACTGCACCTAACCCCCATCACCACCACCACTGTGCCTAAGCACAGACTCCCTTTATAATTATGCCTGCACGGTACCCGGCTGTCGCCACTGCGCCTGACCACCATTATCCCTTTCGCTCCCACTTTTACTAGTTTATTATATAAAAAATGCTTTCCCTTTGATTAAAGCAGCAGGAAGCTTCCATGCCTGTTCTGCAAGTTAAAGCATATCTAAACTAAAGAACAAGAGTTTAATATAATGCAGCTTATCAGTTCTTAGATGTGGTGGCAGCATTTGTTTTCTAGTTATTCTACAGTCTACCGGTAACATATTTCTTGTCCTAGAGTGACAATGCTTTCTCACTGTGCTGTTAATATGGAGCCGGGACATGAAGTATATTAGGACTACAAAACACCTCCCCCTCTCCTTACCTCCATAATGCCCCGGGTATGCACTGTGGTTCACAGAGGGAACAATAACAATGCTTCACATATCATTACAGTGTGCACAGGACGGCACTTGATTTCTGTAAGGATCAGCTCTTTTTTTTCACTTATCAAACCGTTATTAAAAAATGCTTTCTATGGTATATTTAGAGAACAAAAGGAAGTAACTTAGAACAGGTGATTGCTATGGTTCACTTTAAGTAAGTAGAATCCAAGACTCAATTCAAAACCTTTTCCCAGTGGTATAAACCTTCAACCTGATTCATACACTTTGTCCTGCCTGACACTCCATATTATAGGTATCTTCCTCAAGACTCTAGAATCTACTTCTGTGTCTGGGAGAAAACAGTTTGTATTTATAAAGATGTCACTGATTTACAGATGGCTGGCTTTTTTCCTCTATAATAATTTTGCATTTCATAGTGTTTGCAGTTGAATCCCCATTGCATCTATATTTCACAGCTATGAATTCGGTTCAGAAGCAGGACAAAAATTAAGAATGCTAATTTGCGTACATTTCTAGCTCCTGCAGAAACAGCATGAGACAAGTGACCTTTGATTGATCTCAGTCATGTGTAACTGCGTATTTAAAGCTGACCACTGTAGACTGTTTATGACCGGTACAAAGATTTAAGTACTACTTCATGACAAAATTACATAAGATTTATACAGGTGCAGACTACCAATGATCCTAAAATAGTTAGGGCACAGACATCAAATTACTCTAGGTGTCTGGTTTATGGACCCAACTAATCTGGATATTATCTCTGCTGCCGAATACAGAAACTGGGAATTGTCAATAAGTTATATCTAGGGTGTCTGTTAGTAGGAACAATAGAAAAGATTTTGTTTGGCACCACTTCCTTTTATTTAATAGATTATTGCCCATAGTTGACAAGCCTGTGTTATGCTGATGATTACAGGAGATGCTGTACTGCTGCTTTGAGAAGGGCATGTAAAACATTTTATGGTTCATCACAATTTAACTACAACCACTACTGCACCATTGATGGTGCATGCTGTGAGCCTGACTTACTATATTTGCTTTATGCCATTTATTCTGCCAAAACACCCTTTTGACATAGCACAGAATATTAGTTTAGCGATAAGTCACAAGGAAGAGGCTGGATAAAGTTCTTTAGCTCTCTGACAGTGGTGATCCGCCCAGACCTGAATGCAGCACTCACCAACACACCAGAAACATTAAAGTGGTCTATATTTAAATAAGAAAAGGAGCTGCAAATGAAGTTATGTTAAAACAGTTAATTAGAAACAGTGTTAAGACCAGATTTAAGAAAACAACAATATGGCCTATGTGCTGTTGCACAGTTATAAAAATATGACAAGGCAGTCATAGTTAATATTCATATTAATGTGAAGTGAGACTATACATAGTTATTTTTCCTTAAGCCATGTATTATAGCTGGTTGTATAGCTGGTTAATATACTGCCATCTTGTGGGCATTTTGGTTATTGTACAATGTTTTTCTGAATTCCCTCCCATTGTGTGTAATGTACCACCCTTCTTCTCCAGGTAGTCTTCTGGCATCAAAATGGCTGACTGTAACATGGCCACATGTTAATCTGCATTGCATGCTTGGAAACATTACCATCTCTCACCTTCAAATACCGTCTGTTCATTCATCTGCAGTATCCTGTTGTGTGCTGTAACCCTACTGCATCCAATAAAACACTTTGTGGATGAAAAAGTATTTGGTGAGTTCAACTATCTGAAAAGGATTGTCCGCAGTGATTATATCTGCTTATACAGGCGACAGAGATCTCAGCAAGGGATAAATCGCTAATACCACAATCGGAGTCCGAATAACCTATCTATAGACCCTTACTACACCACATTAGCACTACACTACATTAGCCAGTGGAGGATGGAATATATAGTCTGACAGGAGTAGGGCCTTTACCTCTCATAGAAGCACTCACTATCAGGGGGAGAGTATTTGGAAAGGAGGGGTTGGGGGGGTAAGTATTTGTAATCCACTATAATGAGAAAAGTCCCTTAAATTAACTCTGCTGGTAGCAATCAAGAAGACAGAACTGTATAAGGGTGGCTAGAGGCTTCTAACCACTGGTGCTGGATAAGGGTTCTCAGGACTGTAGTCAGTCCAATGGTCCTCCTCTATGGCCAGGCAGGAGATCATGCCACACTTTGTGGACTTCCCTTTCAAGCCTGTGCTTTCTCCCTTTATGGAGTCCAAAGTGCAAGTCTCAGGCAGGCACTCCAGGGTTTTCTCCTCTGCTTGCAGAACTCAGTACAGTACAAGAGCTCAGTTGCCTCTGCTCGTAGCACAGTCTCTCTAGGCTCTGTAAGCAGCACACACAGTCCTCTCTCTGGGGCCCTTTGGGCATAGGGGGCCCCATTTGGTATAAAAATAGCAAAGCATGGGGCAAAGATGGAAGATTGAGCCATAAAGCCACTCTCCCTTTTTCACCTCGCCCCCACATCTGGCCACATTCCCTATACCGCCAGCACTGACCCTCCAAAGTGTTTCTCCAACATATTTTGAAATCCTAGCAATTATGTTTTAATTTTAGGTAGACGTTAAATGAAGAATCTCTTTACCAGGCTAAATTCAGATTTTAAAAATCAGCATATCAAGAAATTTACAGGTAACCCTTTCAACACTGGTCTTAAGTGTTGAGGGCAACAATTACCATATGCACCACCAACCCTCCTTCATTGAATGTTTCTTTCCAACATGCCACCCTTTGAATATCATTTTCCTCGGCAAGCCTTAAGCTACTCATTAAAGATGAATAGGTAAATACTAACTCAGAGGCTGCCAGACCCCACAAAAATGGATACACAGCATGAGCAGCAAAGGATGCAGCAAGGGGTACTTTTGTAAACAGCAGAAATGTGGCATATGTATGTGTGCCGTAAAATTAACAAAGTGCATGTTGCTTCTCCATATTGTTTGACCAAAGATTTTACAGAGTTGCAGAATAGGTGATTAATGGCAGCTTGTAGAATAAACTACACTAGCAGGGAACTACAGTATGCCATTGCAATATGTACAAGACACTTTAATCACATAAGATTCTATATTTGAATGCAGTCAATTTTTAGTTGTTCAGGAGCCTGAAATTCACAACGTACATCTAACTGTTATAACACCCTACCTAGTCCAAGTTTTCTTTTGCCACCTGGATGTGCTGCTCATATTTTGTGCTTCTCTGGTTAACTGTTGCCTAAAGGGGCAGAGCATTCTCTATATACAGTCTAGTTCTAGTTCTATGTCAGTTCAGCTTGAATTTCCATCAACTCATGGCTTATGCAATGCTCTCCAATGATTGAAAATGGCTCCAGAGCCTTTATTGAATTTCCCCCATTGTGTCATGCAGTAGAGACATGACTTGCATACTCCACTGCATAAAAAAAGTGAATTGGAGAATCTTCCTGTGCAATCAAAAGCAACTATAATTACCAAAATAAAAACATTTTTTCTTACCCTTGGAGTCTAGAAACAGCCCAATTATAACAAGGGAAGCTCAATATCAGAAGTATTGCTTGCCATTATCAATGCCATTTATGACCAGCCTTACATTTAAAGAGCACCTGTGCCCAGATTATGGACATTAAACAATTTACAAAGCCTTCACTTTAAATTGAAGCCTTTTCCGTTAAAGCATAGTTACTGGGGACTGGTGACATTTAGTTGTTTAAGGTTTGATAATGACCTCTCACAAGTTATTCAACATTTGGGAAAAAAGAACAACTTACCAAAGTATGTGAGCCACCATGCTTGAAAATTGCACAGAGCACCATCAGGTATTACCTCTCCCTACAAGAGAAAGCAAATTGACAATAATTTCAATAGTCTTAAACACAATTAGAGAACATTTAAAATGTGAATGCGAGATCTAAGGAAAGGTACTTCTCAATGCTATTTTTAAATGAGATTCGAGATTCGATGTTACTATTGCACTGTTCTCATGAGGGCTTGCTGAAGAGGAAGCTTTACATGAGAACTGTGCATGCATCACCCCGCTTCAATCATTCTGTTCATGCTTCTTAGACCTTTTCTGCTGCTTTATTATTGATCCATCATTCATTTGACTACCATACATCACAGTGGCAGCTTTGACGGGAGGACAGGCTACTCTACTAAGATAACCACCTCCACACAGCGACACAGTGGAGGTGTCACAATGTGGAACAAGGCGTGGAAAGTCAGTAACAAGGAAAAAATCACTTGCAGGGTGAACATGGGCAATACTGGCCCTGTGCTCGTTGTTTGCCATTTTTGGACACATCTTACATAATTCATATCCTTTTCAAAGCATATCCTAACTTCAAAACAAAAATGTAATATATTGCAGTTTTACCAGACATTGTGACACTGTGAATAACAAACGTCCGGTCTTTGGGTGGATACACTCACTCCTCCACTATATCTATTGAGGGAGCCATGGTTGCCATCCAGGCTGGACATTAAACAAGTGTGCCTTTGGTTATCTACATTACATTGAGGCTGATGGTATTTATAGTGTATACAGAAGGAAGATGACACTTTCAGGTCAGCTTACATGAAAATGACAAGGACACTGCATTACTGACAACATCAACAGGTATCATCCGTACTTGCGTATAATGTTCTGTTCCTGCAAACAGATACCTAATACTGCCACCACATCTAAGCTGCAATACATAAATTTATTGTTTTGGGTTTTAGTTAAGCTTTAAAAAGGAGAACTATGGGGCAACCTTTTTAGCCCATAGTTCTTTTCAGGGTCATGGGAGGACATATACTAACACCCTCCGGTGACCCAAAACTCAGCATAGCCCATACTGTCAAGATCCACCCCGCTGGCCAATTGGCAGCTGGATCTGCCTCTCTAGAGGCAGAGCCAGCTGTGTCCACCCCCGTCTGTTCCTCCACTCAGACCTGGAAAAAGGGAGAGGGGATGGGGGATCCCTGCGGGGAGCGGTAACTATCACCGCACCCCTTTCCGGGAGAGGATTGGAAAGTCAGCTATTGGCGGTATGTGTTTGGTGACTTCCTGATCAATAGAGCTGACCTGTGACAGCTTCAGTGTCAAAGGTCGACTTGAATTATGGGGATGAGTGTTTTTTACTCAACCCATAATTCTCCCTTAGGAGAGATATACATGCTGCTGTAGAACTGTCCCTGGTGCTGAAGGAAAGTAATCAGGTGTGTTATGTTGGGAATGTGTCAAAATAAACAACTTTTTCAGAAGCCTCTGATGAAACTTGCCATTATCTGACCCACGCACACTAGTTCCACAGTACTGGCCCAATTTGCAGTAACTGTGAATAGATTCAGTTTCACTGCTCTGGAACCAGTATGAAGCCAGCAAGTCAGGGGACATAGCATTCTGAAACAAGTATTTTGCTTTATGACAAGATGATCCATAAATAAGATGTGCAACTACCTATTATAATGATCAGTGTATTTAAGTCAATAAATCTGCATTTATTAATTAAAGTGACACTAAATTTAGGAGTTTAACCTTAAAAACTGATTCAAGTAGCTTATTTATTAACAAAAATGTAGATTATTTGTGTATCACTCGGCAGTAGATCCTAAAATCTCTGAATTCATACTGACTGTCCTTCCTTCTGGAGAGCGGCTACTTTTGTTCACCATGGTCCCTGTGTGTGTTGTAAAGTAGCCACCACTCCAAGCTGATTCCTGTGATATACTACAATCTCAATACAAATTAGTAAACTAAATGCGAGATTGTAGTCCATCACAGGAGTGAGCTTGGAGCGGTGGCTACTTTACAACACACACAGTGAACATGGGGAACAAAAGTAGCCACCCTCCAGAAGGAAGGACAGTGTCATCATAAATTCAGAGATGATTTGAGGATCTACAGCTGAGAGATACACAAATAAGCTACATTTTTGTTAATAGGTAAGCTACCTGAATGCGTTTTTAATATTTAACTCCTGAGTTTACTGTCACTTTAATCTCTCATATAGAAGGCACTTTTAACTGCTCCGATGCAAATGTAGACTTCTCACATTAGAGGCCTGCAGCTGTATTGTTATTATAGATATCCTGCTGCACACATATAGGATGATGGGAAATGGTATCAAGTCTACCGGACACAATTCATAAAAATTTTTTATAAAACAAACAATGGTATCATTTTAAAATATAATCTAATTTTAACTAATTCTCACAAAGCAGTAAAGCCCTATTTAAATATAAATCTTACTGCAGTAACACTATTGCAATAACATATTTAGTCTGAACAAGAAAATACAGCGTTACATTATTTCCAGGTGGTTAGTACCCACCACTATCTCCACTTTATGAACGATTAATCTTTAAGGGAAACCTTTTCACTGGGATATACAGCTCCGCTGTGTCACATAAAAAGTACAATTAAGTGTTAACTATAGAGTAACGAGAACAAGCTGGTTCTTTGCTGTACAATTTTGTAAAGACGGATAAAAAAGGAAAGTTTTTTTTTGTTCTCATGTTCCACCAATTAAAAAAAATAAAA